GTTCCTAATGAAATAATGGTTAAGTTTAAAAAAAAAAAAAACAAAGGCATCGCTTTCCGCATTGAATATTCTCCTCTTACCTGAAAACAGAGCTCCTTTTGACCCAAAATATTTGTAATTGCCTTAGGGTCCTGACTTGTTTCCTTTTGAAACTGCCTGCTTAAATGTGCTTCGGTGCCTCTTAAACTGGGCCGTCACCAGGAGCTCGACCTCTTCCAACGCCCAAAAATTCCAGGTTGCGAGCACAGCTCTGAAAACAAATAACAGCTGCTCAAAATCTACCCGCTCCCTGGTTCCACAGGGCAAAGCATGGTGATGGGGTGGAGGGGTGAGGAAGAAGCCTCGTATTATTATTTTTTTTTTTTTTTTTAACCCATCCTTCCTGCCTACTACAAACGGCCTATTTTCTGCCCCTAATGGTTTCTGCCTAACAAATGGTGTTTCTTTTTTACAGCGTTATGATCCTGGACTTGTTGTGGTGATGGTAAACTTAGCAGTGGTAATTTTTTATTTTCAGACTGAATTACTCCTTTTGTCATCAGTGCACCAATATGTTAGGCTTACTTTCTCTGTTGTAGCCATCATCCTTCTGCTTGGTCTTTCATTTTCCTTTCCTTTCCTTTCTTTATGCACACTTGTCTGATCCTTGTTCATTAAAGGGTATTGCTAAGAAGGGATGTTTCTGTTTGTGTTAGAACTGCCAAAATCAGTTTAAACGTAAATTTCTAATACTGTCCAAACTTGATTTTTCCCCAACACGATGGGCACTAGCACTTGCTACTGCAATTTCCAAATAGATTTAAAAAAAAAAAAAAAACAAACCCAAAACCAAAAAAAAACCAAACAAACTTTGACTGCCTTAGAAGGCAAAAGTACTGATGCATTGTTTGTACTCAGGGGTTTACCAGGGCAATGAGGCTGCATTGAAAGATCTCGATTGCTGGAGAAAAAAAAAAAAAAAAAAAAAAAAAAAAACCCAAACAAAACAAAAATAAAAAAGCTTGAAAAAAATTAATATAAATTATTGGCACTTGCTGCCAGCCCTTCCATTTGGGTTCACCCACTTAACCAGTAAATCCCTGGCTGAGACGTTATGAAAGTGATATTGCACTTAGGAAGTCATTTTTATAACCTGTCTTTAATTTGGTCCTTTTGCTAAAAATTGCAGTCACTGCTTACTTTATTATACCATTGGGCGTAAGAGAAACATTTTCAAGCAGAGAATACTTAGAATACCAAAACGAAAGCTCAATTCAAAATACTGGTTTTGGACTTGGTCGACATATATGCCTGTCAAGTTTATGGGCGTATAAACAAAACCACAAAGCGATGAATTAAATGGACTTGTTTCTGAAAGAAAAACACATGCCTCTGTGCTTTAAGAGTTAAAAAGACACAGCTCTGACCGGAGGAGGCTCCTCCTGGGGGCTCTGGAGCCAGATCTGTGGGCTGTTGCTTTTGCAGGCGTTAGAGAAAGCTGATGTTGGGGGAGAGAGAAGCTGATGATGCCTGCACGGGTTTTCGGAGGCAGTTTTAAAGACTTTAACCGTTTGCGCATGCGGATGGCAATGGAATATTTTTGGCATGATTAAAACCTGCAGATCTTTCAGCCCAAAGGTATAATATATGTGTATGTGTGTATAACAAAACAGTTGTTTACACCAAACCAAGAGCAATAATAAGGGAAGTAAACATTCTGTTTTTTTACTCAAGGTATGCGCCGGATAAGGTAAGTACATTTTCAGTGGGCTTACATCACAATGAACAGCGCGAGTTGTGATGTAAAAATAAAAATAATAATAATTTAAAAAAAAAAAAAAGCTGTGGTAGTAAAGTGCTTGTCTGCCCCATTTTGCTTTGTTTGGCTGGTTATGAGTGGATTAAAGATATGTTTTTTTTTAAAAAAAAAATCTCCAGCATAGTTTGATTAGTTCAAAGTCAATTTTCTTCGCAACTAGTCCTTTTCACAGCTTACAGATGACGCAGCGAGTGCTAGAGCATCTCTCCGCAGGTGCCTGACCCCCTGGCCTGGGCCGGGCGGTCGTTTGGGATGAAAGGCGGCCGGCGTCCGCGCCGCGCTTCTTGGGCAGCGTTCCTTACTCTTGGGAAGGGACGCAAGCGGGCGGGGGGAGGCTTCCACATCTTTCACAGGAAAGCCCTAAGCAATTATTAATGCGGTGGAGCAGTAAAATGTATTTAATGGCTTTTTCACTTGCATCAGAAGACGAGGGTGTATTGCCTGATGTGGAAGCGTTGAGCAGAAGGTTCATTATTTCTCAAGTCCTGTTGACAGCCCTGCCCTGGGACTTGTCACGGTTGAACATTAACCACGAGTATGTTTTACGTGAGCGGTTAATGTTCCGAAAATACCAGGGTGCGTTGGACCGTAACCGGTTTGGAGCCGAGAAGCAGGTTTGGCTGTAAGCTGTGAGAATGGCTTGTGTTTGGTTCACTGTAGCTTTCTGGTCTCTGCACTCCAAGGCAAGATCTCTAACCACCCAAACCCAATGTGTACAGCGGGCTGTGGCGCCGGGCCGGCCGCTGACCGCCTCTCTCTGTGTTCCTCTTACAGGGAGGACAGATCCCATCCCTATTGTCGTCAAGTATGATGTCATGGGCATGGGGCGGATGGAAATGGAGGTAAGCTCGCCCAGCGCCAGCTCCTGCCCCGCACCCCGTCGCTCCTTGCCTGGCTCTCGGGGAGTTGATAGGGAGGAAATTTAAAAGTGAGAATTTGCACATCAAAGGTAAAGAAAAACTTGCTCTTAAATCAGCGCAGTAAGAAAACGCTTCTCCTCCAAATACGTGCTCTGTTTACCCATGGGTACCTGAATTCTGAGGCCTGGATGTTATCCAAAATTCCTGGGCTTTGCGATTTCGCTTCCGCAGAGCTGAGGCTGCTGCCAGCAGTGGACGGGCCTGCCTGGAGCCTCCACCTCGGAAGGATTAATGAACTGTTTTGTGTGTGGGTTACACCGTGGGATGGCAAAAGAGAGAAAGTGAAGTGCAGCATGCAAAGATTCTGCTTCAAACCTCGCCTTTTTAAAATTACACGTTCTGGCAGTCTCAGTAGTGCAAAGTATATATGGGACAAATTGCATCTCTTTTTTTTTTTTTTTTTTTTTTTTTTCTCTTTAAAAAAAAAAGCTCGACTACGCCGAAGATGCCACTGAGCGGAGGCGTGTACTGGAGGTGGAGAAAGAAGACACCGAGGAGCTGAGGCAGAAATACAAGGTACTGAAACGGGGGCATTAACATCAAAGTTCCCGTGGGCTGAATGGGAGAGGATTTGTCCTGATAGGACAGAGCTCTTCTCGCTAGGCTGCGGTAATGGTAGTAGGAATTGAGTATTCTTGGGTTTTGTCATGGTTGAGATTATTTATATTTTAATGAACTGGTTATTCACTTCCCAGAATTAACCTTGATGTTTGTTTAGCTGCTTAAGAGCTGCTGGATAGCAGCAGGGCTTTCTCTGTGTGCTTTGCTCCTGTTCTGGAAAGAGCCAGCCCTAGGGTAAGCAGAACACTTCCTTCCCTAGACCCAGGGCTGCCACATTTTTCTAGTGAACCTGCCACGCCGTCAGTGCAAAATCCGCAGATGCAAGTGTTAGATGGGCAGTTATCAGCTGGGAGCGGAGTAGGTCTTCTGCTGTTACTGAGCAAGCAGCAAGTAGTGCTTTATGATGTTGCATAAATCCTGCTTGCTTTGAAAAGGTAGGACATGGCTCCAGTTTTGAGAAATTGATGGGCTGTATCTCTTTGGAAGAATTTCTCAGGCAGCATTAAAAAAGGGGAAAAAAAAAAAAAATTCTGTATTTCCATAGGGTTTACAAAACCTGTGGGGGTTTTTGTAAGCCAAAGACTGTCGTCTTTTTAATGACAAAAATGGGCCATCGTGTTGGCGTTGAGCACGACATGCTGGAGCGTACTTGGATCAGCTGTAAGCGAGTTCTCTGTGGAGACGTGGTCCTTTCTAGTCCTTTAATCCACTCTTCGCTTACCAGCCTGTAAAGTACATCAAATCTTAGGAGAGCCGGCTTGTTTAATTGTCATGAGATTTGAGAAATACCGGGGTTGAAGAGCCCTAGACATTAGAATAAAGTGCCAGTTTTGCATACATTTCAATTCTTTGAGCAATAATGGAAAAGTAGTTTCAATTCCGTTAAAATTAAACATAACCATGGCAAAGCTAAAATTCCATTTCACCAGTTCAACAGTTAATACTGCAGGCAGTTTATTCAGCTACAAAAGTTTATAGCCTCCTTTCCCGTTTTATTTTTTTTCTGAAGTTGAGACCTTGACTTGCTTGGCAAGTGAATTGCTGGTATATTTGTTCATTTAAAAATAAAAGCCGTTGTAATTACTTTTAAAGCTAATTATTAGTTTGGAGCTGAAGGCAGTTAATGATCTCTTCTGGCACGCTTTAAAGCACAAGTGCGCTCTTAAATGGGCTTATGCCGCCGGTGCTGAAGAGTTCCTCTGCGCCCAGGTGCACGTTCTCCTTGAAGATCGCTCTCCTTCTCGTTGTGTTCAGCCTCCTGCCGCTCGCGTGCTGCAAGGGAGGGCTTGGCCGGGACGCTGGCTGTTCTCGGCAGCGTGCGGCCGAAAGCCTGGATCCCTTCCTGCAGCAAACCCCCAGCTGCGATGCCGGGCGTCTTCAGCCAGCAGCTGCCCAGTACAAAGTATTTCTTCGTTTCAGAGTGGTTGGTAGGAGCTCTCGTGCGAATGGCATGTAATGATGTTTTGTCTCGGGTCCGCAATGCGATTTATGGTAAAGTCCTTGGGTTTTGCAATTGTCTTTTCAAATGCAGTTGAACGTGCGTTGCTCTCGCTGTTTTGTCTTCCTGCCATTATTCAGGACAGATTTTTTTTTTTAGGCACTCTGTGGAGCAGTAGCAGTCTCTCCCAACTCAGATGTGTTTTTATTAGCATGCTTTATTGTTAGGCTCGTGCGTTTCTGTATTAATCTATGAAAATCTCTGCAAGTGTAATTTTTTTCATTGCTCTGCAGGAGTCCATTATGTAATTGCCAACTGTGGCCGCATCCCGATTAGCCATTCAGTGAGTCTCAAAGGAATTTCAGATAACTCCGCAACCAAGAAGCAAGCAAGAAATGTCCCTTTTTTTTTTTTTGTATGGATTCCGATCACTCAAATGGCTGTGTTTTTCATTGTTTAGCCACAGGATGCTTTCTGAAAAAAGCCCTGCACATGGCACAGGAAGCTTGTTCAGGGTTTCAGAGGAACCTTCAGTGTCATTGTTCTGTGGATCTCACGCTGCTCTGTTTTCCTTTCTTGTCTTCCTGGGGACCTGCTGCAGGCTCAAAGCTCCAGACAGTTTTGTTGATTCCCCCCTTCTTAACAAGGGCCCCCAGTAATAGATGGAAGCAGGAACTTGAAGTAGATTTTTTTTTTTTTAATTTAGAAGGTGAACAGTGCTTTAAATTGGAAAAAAAAAAAAACCTTTTAGCAGTAGAATTTTTCAGATATTCCACCCCGCCTCTACCCCCCCCGGGTGTTGACATTTTTTACATGAATTTTGCATTACAGAAACATGCTCAGCAATATTATTTTAATATAATTTTGATGTGGTAACTGGGAGATAAACTATATTGCCTTGAACGAGATCTTAAATAAAAGGAAAAAAAGCTTTTGTAGTACATCTTTTTAAAATGTTTGCTAGCTCCTCTTGCTAATGCAAGGAAATTTCCCATAAGAAGGTTGTATTGAAGACAGAAACTCTTAAACTCCTAAGCGTTTTTTCTCAAATGTTAGGCTATCTTTTTCTTATAGAATTTCTCTTTTGAAATGCACATGGTAAATATATATGGGGGTATGCTGATGTTAGTACAGCGTACTTTGTAATAGAGAATATGTAGCTTTTTTTAGTATGCATCAGCGTAAGTACTTCCAGCTTGTTCAAGTAAACCTTCCCCAGCTTGCCTGTAAAGGGTGTCGATGTTTTATTAATTTTGCCGGTGGGATTGTTATCGAAACGACCTGGCTAGAGGGAGAAGTTGCTCAGCCCTGAGATTAGCGTGTGCCTCAGGATCAGGTGCGTTTCAGAGCCCCCGCGGGGCCGCAGCGGCTGTGCCCTGGGGACGGCACGGGCTCGCTTCCAGGCGCTGGGACTTCAGGGACTGGGATTTCCACGGAGTCCCGGAGCTTTTTGCCGCTGCCAGTCCAGAAGCTGTTACTCTTCCTTCTAGCAAAAGAGGGGAGGACGTGACCGTTGCCAATTTAGACACCTTGCCTTTGCTTGGAGGTTTGGTTTCGCACCTATACAAATGTTGAATTATCGAAGGAAGAAAAAAACCTGTCTGCAGCCTCCAAGGTGATCTCTCTCCCTCTCTTTTATTAAATGGCAACTGCCTGTTCCCACTTAATCACTGTATTTTGAGCTCAGCTTAATGGACAGCGTTGCTCCTGGGAAGATTTCACTGACTGAAAAATTACACTGAAGTGCAATAGGCCCAGTGGTTTCTGAACTGTGCTTTCCCAGCCGCGGATCTGTGTTCCTCCCTGTTGAATTGCAGACCAACTGAGACCAAGCAGGCATCTGTTAGCACTCAAAATGGAGGAAGCATCAGCATTTCAAGTTCCAAGGTTCTGTTCCAAAAGCAGTGATCTTCCTTGGTTTGATGCGTATTTTGCGCATCTTATGCGAGCAGGCAGCTGCCAGTTTGTTTACGGGTTAGCTTGAGGCTTTGAACCTCTCTTTTTATCTCAGACAATCCGGCAGGCTCCCTCCTCTTGCAGCCGCAACTGCCTTCCTGCCATCACCACTAGGTTTGGTGTTTTGGGTTGGGTTTTTTGTTGGTTTTTTTTTTTCCCCCCCCAAGCAATCTCCTTTTACTGATACCTGTGCTAATGACAAGATTATGTTCTATGTTAGAAAACTGGGTCAAGGCTAGGTTGGTGGTATTGCACAGTTAGCCTTCATACCTTTTAATTTGCAAAGACTGGTCAGCCTAATAAATATAATCATCGGTGTACGCTAAGGTTCTCTTAAGGACTATTTTTCCTTAAAGGACTAGTTCATCATCTTCCAGTTCGTTTTACAGGAAGTTTTAACAGGAGCGTTTTTTTTTTGTTGTTAATTTTGCAGGATTATGTTGATAAAGAAAAGGCAATTGCCAAGGCTTTGGAAGACCTCAGAGCAAACTTCTACTGTGAACTCTGTGACAAGCAGTATCAAAAGCATCAAGAGTTTGACAACCACATAAACTCTTACGATCATGCTCACAAGCAGGTAAACAAGCGTTGATAGCACAGTTCACCAATTTTCTATTTGTTGCAGCAGTCTTGTTTGTGGTTAGGATTTTGAATTTCCCCAGTGTATTTATTTCCTTAGAGCCCCAGGGACAGGTGTTTTATGCCACTGGTTAAGATTCTTATGCCCACCATACATTTAAAAAAAACCCCGAAACAACAAACAAAAAAACCCAACTCACTGTTGGCATCAAGGAGCCCAGTTTTGAATGACCCACGGGCAGGAATGGGCTGCTGCTAAACTGGGGAGAGTACAGATGGGTATGGATGGCTCCCTTTGGAGACTGATGAGATGCCACGTGTGTGCATTTTAATGCTTTAGTCTGTGTTCTGTCAAGTTACTGAAAACAGACTAGGAAGTAATGGGCTGTGTCAAAGGAATCTTAAAAAAGGAGCACTTTCCAAATTCCCTAACCCTCAGGAGAAGGTGGATTCAGAATCTCTGTGGAACTGGCTTTGGTCCCAAGGTAGGGATGTACTGTAGTGTCTACGTGCTACTTCATACCGCACGGTAAATAATAAAACGTGTTAACCTGATCTATTTGACCGTTGGAAGCTGCTAAATGAGATGTAAATGTACCGCAGGTAGGAGTGTTGTGCTCATCTAGAGATAAATTGCTCAAAGGAGGTTTTTGGTATTCCTAGTCATAAATTCCTACAATACAGTTATTAAAAAGCTGATAACTTCTGGAGGATGTGCTGTAGATTACTAGATCTTGCAAAATAGCAGCGAAGCAACAGCTTAAAAAGAAGAATATGGCATTACAGAGTATGATTTTTTGTGTGTGTGTGTGTATTAAGTACAGGATATGATAGTTCAAAGTAAATTCACTAAGGGAGTCTTAGCAGGAAGTCTCACGGCAGGGCAGTTTGTGTTTGAGTACTGTGGTGGATTGTGGTTTAATAGAATTAAGAGCAGAAATTCATTCATTTACTTTGTATTGGGAAAACAGGCTGCTTTGACCGAGCTGGTGGCACAGCCGTGATACCTGATAGCAGTGTACTTCATCTAAAGTTTTCCATCAACTTGGTTGAAACTTGAGCGCAATTACGTGCATCTGTTTAGGAGGTGGAAGGACCTGTTTGTGTCACATTCTTACAGCGTAGTGATGCAGTATGATCATGTCAACTCCTGTTTAAAACCCTTGGGTAATGAACAGGGGGACTGACATAGGGTTGGCAAAGCTGAGAGTTTTTTCTAGTATCTAGAGATGCTGTGGAAGAAGAAACAAACCTGTGGAAAGCAACCACCTCTCGCTGGTGTAACAGGAGTCATCGGTAGGGGTGCAGGAAGAGCGACCTGAAAGAAAAATGTCTTGGGAACACACAGGGTGGCGTAATCTTCTCATCAGTAGAAAGAATTTGGGGGTTGCTTGGCACTGCTGATTATTTTTAAAGGCATCTATGTTAGATAATTTGCATCCATTGCAGTAACTTCAGGCAGGCTTTGGAGAAGATGAGCCTTCAAACTCTTGCTACGTCACCCAGCATTAATTTCTAGTTACACAGGGATTTAAACAAAGAAGCAATCATGCTTTGCTTAGGGAAAAAAATTGCTTGTCCAGCTTTACGTCGTGCCGAAATGTGTGTCACCGTGTTGGGTCAGTGTTCAGTAAGTGAACTTGAAGCTACCTAGAAGTAATGAAGGTAAATGTGCACAGGTAACGCTGTCTCACTTCTGTTCATTACCGCTCAAGACAGGCTCATTTCTAACAGTCTATTCTAAATTTTAAGGAAGTTAAAAAAAAAAAAAAAAAAAAAAAAAAAGCTTTGCTTTTCATAATGCGTTGCACATTGATGGTTCATATTTTGCCACTTTGGACAAGACGGCAAGGTTACATAAAGGCTAACAAGGTTTTTTGAGGAAAAACACAAAAGTTTTCTTAAAAGTAGGCTAATCAGTAGGCCTTCTTGGAAAGATGAGACATTATGGTATCCTAGATAATTACAGCAAACCAGCTTGGTATATATTATCTGCAATGTTTTGTCTTCTCAGCGGCAATCCTTGAGGCAACAGTGCTTCGTTTTTGCCTTTTTCTTAGCTTGTTGAACAGATTTCCATGGGATCATTTTTGCTTTTAAGTATTTTTAGTTACACATACCCATGATGTTGAAGTGCTTGCTTATTCCTTCTGTGGCTCAGTGAGCATTAGGCTGTCCCTGTAAATAGATGCTCCATCCTCAGATCCCTTTCCGCTCCCGAGTTATAAAGACACTGTCTTGTATTCCAGGAAGGAACTCAGGATTATTGCGAAACAGGGATGATAGGTAAGTGTATTGATCCCTACCGGATAAATTTTGGACCCACCAACTTGTTAACACCAAACAATTAAAGGGGAGGTTTTATTATTATTATTTCCTGACTATACTGGTTTCATAGAGCATTAGGATATCTCTGCGTCAACCTCAACACCAAGTTTCTATCCAAAGGGAAGTACTTCTACATTACTTTAACTGGGAAAATAATCTTCAATTTGTTATCACAAACCATTGGCCTGTTTAAGTCATTGTATTTTAAACATCTTGTTGGAGGTGTGCAATGTTGTTCTCTAGATTTTTTTTTTTTTTTTTAATTAGGTTGATACTTGAAATGAGAAGTGCAGATGTTTTAAGGAACATCTATTCACATTCTATTAAGGAACATCTATTCATCATTCTATCTATTCACCAAATGGTCAGTCCCTCCCAGAGGAAGCCAGAGGACTAAAAGCAACTTGAGTTCATACAGATGGCACTGCAAGAGGAAAAACAAACTCAGTTCCCTTAAAGATCCTGCAGTGAGCAACTGAAAAAGGCTGTAACCATAGATGTCATAACTTTTTGTACCCTGGGAAGCTACTGATATCTGTAATGGTTTTTTGCTAGCTGCAAGATCTTGAGCCTGGCAACTAGAAGGACTGGTAGCTTATGAAGGACCCCAGCCTCTGACGTTGCACAGTCCTGACTGTCAGCAGAGTAATAATAATTAACAGACAAATGCAAAAGAAAACAAATGTAGAAAGAAAACTTCTCCTGCAGCTAGCGAGGAACTTGGTTAGTGGAGGTGGACCCAGTGTATTTTTGTGCTGCTTTCCTGTAGATGTGTGATGTCCAGATGCTTGAGAGCTCCCACAGTCCTAGAACGCTCTGGACTTAGTGGGAATGTATCCTTAGGACATGACATCCAAGTGGGCCCTTAATTTGGTTTTGGGTTTTGATGTCAAGATGGAATACTTCATGTTAGATTTGCGTGAAGATGAAGGCGGGTCACCTTACCTGGGGTTGTACCCAGTTTGCGTATTCTTGGCTAATCTGTATTGCCCATCACTTAGAGCAGCTTGCAGAAATTGCTATGGTTAGAATTTTCTTATATGTAAGTAATGTAGCACTTACAGTCAGCTTTTACTGGGGTTTTTTTGTTTGTTTGTTGTTTTAACTTTATCCAAGAACGTATTTACATCATCTCATATATGGTCACCTCTTTCCTGCTAGCATGGCTGATGTAAGGGTTGAGCTGTTTACTGAGTCACTGACCCAACAGAATAAAAACGTTCACCTTCCGAATTCAGTGTGAACAACAAACATGTTCCCCTGTGAACTTTTGCTAGGTTAACTGTAAGAACGCGAACCAGTATTGAAATGCAGTCTTTTATGTAGCTTTCATTTTGTTTATTTCTGGATGTGTCGCATTTTGGAGGTATAGATGATTGATTCTGCGTATATTCTCTTTATAAAAGGACAAAGGGGATGTATTTCCATAAAGAAGTTCTTTGGGAAAGAGGGTGGAGCTAAGAACTGAAACTATAGATCTGCAGTTCTCTTCATGCCCTAATTATCTGGATCTTTGCTTCTAATGCCAAGGGGGAGGGAGCTGTTAAAGCACAATAAAATTACCAACACAGTCACTGCTGTGGCTGATGAGTCCTCTAAATCCAAACCCTGAACTTCTGGTTTGGGGAGAATTGGACTTGTGCTTTGCAAAAACTTGTATCTTCAAGCACAGCTTGACTGTAGAAACTGAGGGGAGAATCTCCAAGATACTTGGTGTTACATGGGAGGCTTTTCTACTCTAGAAATGCTTTACGCTCAGAAAAACCCACGGCATTTTTCTTAAATCAGTTTTAGCTGCTCGTTTGCTGATGGCAAACACGTTTGGAGAAGAGCATTTATGCATGGAGGTGTTCAGTAAAATAAGCCTTCAGCCTGCCAGGCCAGGACATCGTGATTACAAGCGATGCGAGCCTCCTGAAGGGCAGGCAGACTTCTGTCACTGGGTTATCTGTGTTGCATTAACGCATGGTATATTTTCCAAAGTTGAAAATGAGGTGTCAGGGAAGAAATTAAGATGAAATAAAACTGCAGTTGCGTGCCATTTCCCCTCTGCTCTTTTCACTTCATTTACGAGCGTGCAAAGAATGTTGATTACCAAAATTAAGCAGGGCTTGTGTTGTCACTTACATAAAATTATAAAGGTTGCCATCCTTTGAGCTCATATTTAGCTAATGGTGTAGTCGCTCCCGGAAGCTTTTGTGGCAAAGAATCGCGCGTACGTCAAAAGTTCAGAAAGCCAGAAATCTGCTGGCACGTAATGAAAAGCACATTATTATTTTATTTAATAGGGATTGGCAGAGGGACTTGAGAACAATAGCAGGGGAGGAGCAGGCTGTAATGGGATTGTGCTGTCCCATGAGCTGCCTCCTGGCTCAAGCCAGCGCAGAAATCTCACTGTACGCGGCCCCAGTCTGCCCCTCTCCTGAGTATAGGGTTTGTCGTGAAACTCTCAGGTCTGCAGGTCTAGTAAAGCAGTGCAGCGGAGTGCTTTTTTATTATTATTATTCCGAGAAGAACGTGCTCTCTCTCTGCTCTGCAATTTTAGGCAGAGAATGCCTCTCAAATGGGCCTCAGTTCAGTGAAATTGCACGGCTTTGTCAGCTTAAATTGAGAAAATCCATTTACTGCTGGTCCTGAACCTGAAAAGCAATGCGCTCCGGCGCGGTGCTGGGGAGGTCGTACCTCGATACCATCTCACCGGCAACGCCTCATGCACGACTGCCACAGCGTGCGCTGAATTTTTTCCCATTACGACAGTTTCTGAATCCTGATCGTCCAACTTTTATTGAACCACCTTCACACGTCTGTGATGGGCTATCTCTAGAGCTTTTAAATGACGCCGGAGCACGGCTTATTTAAGCCGATTTGAAGGTAATGGCGTTGTGTGCCAATTTGGCCCCTCCCGAGCTGTGCAGGGATGGGGAGATAATCCATCACTGGAGCCTCTTTGTGCTGGAGTACTGAGGTACCTGCAGACTTTATAGAAAACCTGTTCTTCAAGAGCTCGATTCGCACTCCCGTTGAAATTTAGAGACTTTTTAGTAATTTTGTTAGAAACAAGGCTGAAAACTTAAAATACTATTCTTCGTTACAAAGCTGAGGTGGGCGGCAGCTATTAATAAAACACAATACCAAGCTGAAGGAAGGCTTGAGGTAGTGAAGTACTGCTTCTAGTGTGCAGAAATTTGGAGAAACTCTACTCAAGTGCTAGTGCCTTGTGTCCTTATTTGCTGGTCACTGGGCTTACTGATGTGGCCCTTCCTACAGCTGGAGTAATAAACCAGCAGAATAATATTTCTTGGCTTTGTGGTCACCGTCATCCTACAGTTTGTAAATGGGTTTGTGCTTAGATAAACCTTCTGCTTCCTCAGAAAACACGCTGCCTATGAAGAAAAAATGCTTCCTAATTTTTAAATCCTGTAGTAGCATGAGGCTACTTGATTTAATATGGGTTGGTGGCTCTGATCCTGTTGAAGAAGTTACAGTCTTCCTGAGCACCGTGGGAAGACTTAAAAAGGCTGGTTTCACCCCAAGAAGGTGGGCTCCCAGGGCTCCTTTTCCTTAGTTGGTGGGGAGAAGCTCCCCGAGGATGACTGAGTGGCTACATTAAATTCTTGGTTAAATTTCTTCGCTGTGTTGGGGGGGGAAGGGGCAGCTGTGCGACTCGCCTCCCGCGGCTGTCCAGCCTCTGTGAACACCCGCGCATATGGTGCAGTCCAAAAAGTAATTTAGAGATTTTGGAGGATTAGAATAATGAACGTTTGCCTAAGGATTAGATGGAAATTTCTTTAGTGTGAGCCTAGCTTAAATATCGATTTAGTTCAAATAGCTTTCTGGGAAGGCTGAGACCTGGAGTATGCTGAAAAGCATTTCATTGCTTCGATATACTCCTTTTACTACTGTGAAATTGTACTTCAGGCTTTTAATTGCTTCACTCCAGTTAGGTTTGGGGGAGGAGGGTAGGCATAGCTGTAGTTAACTGGTGGATACATGACTGGATTCAATTATGCACTTGAAACGATGAGCGAGGTAACGGTTACCCTGACAGGATATTTTGAAAAGTTCTGGCTATTTTAAAAGTTCACTGCTAATCAGCTGCCTGCAATTGCAGCCTTCTGCATCTATTCCTGTAGTGATTTGGTTTCACAGATGAGCAATCTGGTCTTCTGTCGTCCCTCCTTTCCCTTCCCCAGGTTGCATTTATGTAAGATAATGCAGTCCAGCCAGGTTTCTTGGAACTTGGCTCCTTGCAAACGTGCGAAATCATTTCTGATGATAGGTGCATCGGTTTAGGTCAGTCAGAGACGCTGAGCTACGTTATGTTCCCTGTTTTACATTCCTGAGGAGACGGCGTGGTGCAGTTGTGGAGCTTTTCTATCCTATGCTTACCCAACAAGACCCTTGTTCCTTCTGGCCCCTGTGCAACAAAAAGAAACTCAGCCTTGAGATCTCTTAGCCCTTTGTAAAGTCAGCTTTGTAAAATCACACCAACTTTTCCCCAGTTTGGGGAGTAGTAAATTCTCAGCAGCCTTGAAACCATGGTTTAGTAGTTTATCATCTTAAAAGGCGCAGATACCAGTGTAGCGAGGTGTTGCTGTGTATTGCATGTTCTGGAGTTGCAGTGCATCGGGATAGTTCATTTGCTTCGTCGCTTCTAATTTGTAAGTGTTGAGAGTGGGAGGTTTGGGGGAGCGGAGATACGCAGAGGTCAGCATTTAAGGAAATGGGCATTTAATTCCGTTTTCATTGAATTTGTCTGTTGTAATGAAGGCAGGATTGCACTGGGGGCAGCTGCATCGTTATCAGCTGGCGTTGAGCCCGTTCTGTTTTACGGGGAGATGCTTAAGGCCGTGTCAGGGGGCGGAGGTGGGTTTCTGAGTGCACCATTGCACCTTCCTCTTTAAAGTAAAAGGTCACAGTTCATTTCTGTTGTAAATAGCTGGGTCATGTTTTTTTCCAAATGGATGAGTGATCTAGAGACTTGGCATCAAACCCCAGTTAAATAGTTTTGTCAGCTGTTGGTGACTTTAACTTCCTGGAGTATTTTAGATACGCTTTTTAAATCAGCATGAAAAAGCTGATAGCATTGCTTAATCCATTTTTTTTTTTCCCCCCTCCCTCTTGGAAAAAAATTTACTATTCAACATTTAACATACACCACAAAACCCTTGAGCCCTTTACTTGTCCTGGTGAAAGTAGCTCTGTTATTCCAGGTGGGATCATTGCTGTGTCCGTGCGTGTGTGTGTGTGCGCGTTCCCTCTTCTGCTCCAGAATTCCTAAGCTCGGTCCCGTAGCTTTGCTGGCTCAGCTCCTTCTCCGTAGAATAGCTCGCAGACGCGCCGAGAGCCTGTGTAG